CCTCTCTCTCTCTCTCTCTCTCTCTCTCTCTCTCTCTCTCTCTCTCTCTCTCTCTCTCTCTCCAATCACAACTCAAATTGAAGCTTCGGTCGTATGTGAAAAAAAATTCTGGCTCTTTCTCATAAATCGTTGCTACATATGGGAATCTAATAAAATATGTTTATTTCTCTAATCGATTCCATCGCCCCAACCCCACCACCATACTAGTGACTACCACGTGCTTCCGCCATCACCACCACCCTAGATATCGATCTTCATCTTTCCACATTAAACCACCCACAGTCGAAGGTCTGCTCAATCGTTGGAAACCATCGACGGAAACCCGAATACATGGAAAATAGTGACGGTGACGGTATTGTGATACGCAAGAAATCAAGAACTTCGATTACACAACCACCCGTTGCTATTGTTGAATAAGGTGTCTAAGACAGTAACTAAATTGGTATATTCTTGTAGTTAAAAGAAAAGTTCTTTTTGGGTTGCCAACTTGGTCAAAAGTCAATGGTCAAATTCAAAATTAACGGTCAAAGGTCACTCATCCGGTCGTCACAACGTGGCCAAGCTTCTGCCACGTCGTGGGGACTACAAGACAAAACAATCGAAATTCAGAGCACCACCACACCGTGGGCCTTCCTTGGCCACGTTGTGGTCTCTGGAAGAATACCATTTTTTTCTTCATTAAGAACTTAATTCCTAAAGACCAAGGCTCATAACATCAAATCTAGTACTTAATAGCTTCATAATGGATAAAGTTTCCAATTATATTCATTAGGATGGTCCAAACAACCAAAATCTCAACATTAAGTCACAAAGGGACCAAAATGCATATATCTCAACTTAATAAATTAAGTCCAAGCTTCCAACACTTAGATCTGATTCCTTATAATGTCTAAATGGATAAAGTTTCTAACTTTATCCATTAAGAAGCTCCAAACAAGCAAGATCTAAAATCTTAGATCATAAGTTGTCCAAAACACACTTTTCTACATTCATAGAGTAAAGAGAGATATTAAATGCTCTCTCTACTCCACCAAGTGACCAAATATGAACCCAAACATTACTAAAAAGATCAAGAGTTCTCCAAACTCTATGAAACAAGCCTCAAATGGGATCAAAACTCAATAAAATGGACCAAAACACTAAATACACCTAGATCCAAGAATGAAATCCAAGAAGGTAAATGAAAGTAGAGATCTTCAATTGCCAAGCTTTATGTAACGCTCGAGTTTTAGGTACTCTTCAATACCTTGATTAAGTCTTAAAAGCTTGCATTTTGGTCCTTGTTACGTTGGGCGTAACTCGGAGTACGCTGGGCGTACTCCCTTAAGTTGGGCGCGGGGTTGGCGGCGTACGATGGGCGTACCCATACGTACGTCGGGCGTACGTGAGCAAACCATAAACCCTAATTTTTAGGGTTTGGCCCATATTTAAGTGTCATTATGGACCTTGAGGCTTCCCCCTCATCAACCTCCTTCCCTCTAAAGACTCCCCACGAAACCCTAGCTTTTCCTTGTATGTTCTTGAGCTTTGGTGGTAAACTCTTGGTGTTTTTGTGCATCTTGAAGAAGAAGGAACTTGGTGATCAAGCATTGGTTGGAGTGGAGCTTGAAGATCCATCATCTTCATCATCTTGGCAAGTCTCAGAAGATATAAAGTTTCAACCTTGTTGATTCATCTCTTAGATCTAGTTAGCTTAGGGTTCTTGGCATGTTTTGGTCCATTGAGTTGTTTCATATGAGTATAAGCTACTCCATAAGCTTAAGATGCTATATCTTAGTGTTTCTGAGGTCCCTTGTGCACAAAAATGGTATCTTGATGGATTTAACTTAACCATGCAAGGGGTGATGTTCATTTCATAGGGTTAGAATGTTAAAATTGGATATTGGGTGTAACATTCAGTTCAGGTGAGCAGTTGTCAAGTTTAAAATTTTTAAAGGATTTAACCCTACTCACGATGTGAGGAATGTATGTCACGTCGTGAGGAGTTTAATGAGTACACGGATCACTTTTGGGCTTACGATGTGATCACATATTGGCTCACGGCGTGAGAACTGCCTGATAGGAAACCCTAATTTTGGGGGTTTTATTTTCGTATTTAAAGGAAGTGAGGGCTAGGGTTTGCTCACCATCAGCCTCCATCACCTCTTTGCACTCCCCTTTGAAACCCTAGCATCCACATTTGATGTTGAATCTTATTTATGGCGATTTTAGCCAAGGAAAAGAAGAGGAAGAGCATCTAGTCCATTGTTTCTGCATTCAAGTCTCAACACCAAGCATTTGCACATCTTCTGGACCTTTTGTGGGTTTGAAGTTCATTGATTTATGAGTCTATAAGCTTAGATCTAGGTTTTTATGCTTAATCCTTCATATTTAAGATGATGTAATAGTTGAAATCCATAAATTTGCCAACTTTATGGATCTCCATTGTCCCTTGAGTAGTATAGATGATAGATCTGGAAGATGGTTGAGTTATATGGTTGTTGCATGAGATTTGGTGTCATTTTCCCTTTGTGTGCCTTAGCAAGTGTTTAGGACATGCATTGGATATGCATGTCCAAAAGGCCACGATTTTTATGATGTTATGGAGTAAATAAAACACTTTGGGGGATTTGGTTGATGGGCCAAAAAGAGATTAAGAGTTTCATTAAGAACTTATGATTAGAGCGTTCTCACGACGTGAACACAATGGGTGACACGACGTTAGGATGGGGTTCCTCTACTATTTTGGACTTATTAGGTCACGACATGACCACTACGGGTCACAAAGTGACTAGCGGTTGTGGGACTTTCAAGTATGAATTGATTTTGACTTTGACCAGGGTTGACCAAGTTTGACCTAAGGGTATTTTGGGTATTTTGAGTGGTATTTGAGATTGGTCATTATTTGATGAATAGGGTACCGTTGAGCTAATATTCAGAGTTGTGTCCTGTTCAACAATCTTTATAGACTGAAAGTTGAGTTTCCCTCACTGTACTTATGGGTCGAAGGCACCAAGGCCGACTCACTGGATATGATATACTGATATATACTGATTGATGATATGTTGAGTATGTGGTAGATCTGTATGATTATATGATGGATGTTGATATGCGTTAGACTTGTAGATCTATAGGACTATTTGTGATTACTGGTTGTATGATTATATGTTTGCTGAATATGTTTTTTATCTGTTATATGTTGTAACGCCCGGGTTTCGGGGCTAAGCATTAATAGATGATGTAATAGTCTAGGTCAACTATTTTAACTCTTTTTGAAGTAATAAAAATGAATTATTTGAGTATTATGTGAATTATGTGAATTTATGTGCTTTATACTTAATTATAAAGGTATAATTAATAAAGAATAAAAATAAGCGTCAAAATTAAAGTGTGAGATAAACTCGATATATTTACATAAAGTGGTGGTGGTCGAAACAAGGATTCTGGGGATATAAAGAACGCCCAAATCTGACTTCGTATGAGGAAGTTATGATTTTTCTAAGATTTGACATAGAAGTACACGGCCCGAAACTCGAATTTTAGTTCGAGCGGTTTTTGGCTTACGCGACCTAAATGAGAGTTGAAGATCTCATTAATAGGAACTCAACGACAAAAAGACAGACGAAAACGGAGTCCGTATGTAAAAGTTATGAATTTTACGCGGACATTTAACAATGTAATCATCTCCTACTGTTAAATTTAAGATCAGTCGAGAATTAGCCGACGGAGTAAAAAGGAAAGTTGTAGATTTTATTTTTACCAACGTGTGGATATAAATAACGTCAAAAACGGATCTCGTATGCAAAAGTTATGGACGAAGCTTAGTCTCTACATTTCGAGCGCGGCGAATTCGATACAGTTTTGTAAATCCGAGATAGAATGAGAATTAGCCAACGGGGGCTAAATGAAAGTTGTAGTAGTCGTAAATACCAACGCGTGGATATAAATAACGTCGGAAACGGTGCTCGTATGCGAAATATATAGACGAAGCTTAGTCGCTACTCTTCGTGCGCGATAAATACGATACACTTTTTGTAAATCTGCGATAGAAGGAGAATTAGCCGACGGGGTCTAAATGAAAGTTGTAGTACTCGTAAATATCAACGCGTGGATATAAAGAACGTAGAAAACGGAGCTCGTACGCGGAAGATACAGACAAAATTTAGGGGCTACTTTACTATAAAATCCCTATAAATAAATGGTGAACTCTTCATTTTTTCTTCACACCATAAGTCTTTCTTTCTCTCTCTAACTTCTCTCTAGCCTCCCTAAACCCCTCCCAAGTCTAGGGAACCTCCCTAGCACGAGAAGGAAGCCCCGAGCGCCCGACGGCTCCGAGAAGAAAAGCTTTCGGCTCGGAAACGCTGCTCCAGCGAAGCCCGGTTTTT